GTCAGGTGGCTGACATGGCCTCTGCTTGGTTATTTTAATTTTTGGTAGTTTCCAAAATGAAGTGCAAGAAAGTCAAACACATTATTCATAGAGTACTTATTTTTATAATTTTAAGACAAAATTCTGTTTTTGAGACTCTAAAAAAACCACAAACTTGAGCTTGTTGATATGTTTGGAAAGACCCTCGTGAACTCAGCCATGTTTCACAAAGATTTCTCTACACTGAGGTTGTTGTTGTTTTTTTTTTGGGGGGGGGGATCAATCATAAAAACAGCTGTGACAAAAACTACGCTCTCTGGTATTATGAATGACGGAATGCTAATGGATGTATCAACTAGATGGTACATCTGGTTAGGTCATTGAGCACTGTTTTTCAGCACATTTATGCACCTTACACAAAATGTGCCTAGTATTTTGATACACTAGGCTGTATAATATATGTTCCTCTACGTCAGTGCTGAAGGCAGAAGTGACTCTTTTGGCTCTTAGTGAACTACTAAGCTATTTTCAGCAATTATCGATGTATTGGATGGACAAATGAAAGTTGCAAGGGAAAAACAAGAAATGTCACTTTTTGGGATTTTAAGGAAAACAAAAATGAATTTCGTGACAGCCCACGTTTTTCCATTGTTTAGCTTATTTTCCAAGCCTGAATATTGGGCGACTCATCAGGTTTTAGCCCTGGACACTTAGATGGGAGAGAAGAGGTGCGCAGACACTTTCCAAATCACATCACAACTCAAATTAACTGAGAACTGACATCTCTTGTTTTTCCCTTGGACTTTTCAAGTGTAGCTTGGGGTGCAGCCTGGTACAGAGAGCTATAAGACATCTTTCATTTATTCATTCTGAGACTATGTTGACAATGGACCGTACGTCCATTGAAAATATGCAAGTACAAGTCACACCAGACAAAACCTACCATTGTGAATATCGTTGCCGGTGGTCGTATTACAGTCTCATGTTTTGAATAAGCATGTGTAAGTGTTGTGGTGAAAAGATGAAGATATTCTTGACTTTCTTTTACAACGGGTGTTCTCTGGCCATTGATCAGATGTTCATGCTGTATTATTTAGACCCAGTTAATGACAAGTCGGTCATTTTCACGAAGAAAAGAAGACTGCTAAATTTTTCAGCAGCTATATATAAACCATGTTTGCTTGATAAATGAATATCACTGTTGTTGAGATGTGTTTCAGTTGTATTTCATAAATTGCAGACACAAGACCAATTCATGTCAAACACATTAATATTACCTTTTCTGACAGGAAAAACCTGTAAATATAATAATATCAGCAGTTTAATGTGCAATTTCTATTCTCTAAAAATATTTTTTTGTGTAACGAAAAATTCTGTAAAAGAAATTTTAACTGAGATTATGTCTCAAAACAAGATATCCTAAAGTAGTACCCGTAGTATTAGTTAAATAAATCTCATCCACAGTGATGGAACATTGTTTTGATGGTAAAACAAGACACTAGTATCACTATCAGAGATAAAAGCAGAAGCAAGGATCTGATATCTCTAGCTTCATGCAGTTTCCTAAACGTCTGTCTGTGTACTTTTGGCCTTCTGCAGGCCCCTTCGTGTCTGCTGGAACTTCTGGATCTGCCAACGTCCAACGACATCATCCTGAGGGTGGTGACCCTCCTGGCCAACATGGAGCAGAGCCTGCAAGACGAGCCTCGTGCCCCGCTGGCCCTGCCAGTGGAGGAGAAGGTGGAGTCGCCCTTGACCTTGCACACAGCCCTCCGAGGCGTCACTCAGCTCCCGCACCTGCGCAACAAGGTGTTCCGTCTAACGCGACACGACGACGAGGACGTGGTGTACCAGGCATCGCGGCTCTACAAGCTGATCACGTCAACCACAAAGTAGGATGATGGGACGGCGCAGTTCCTGCACCTGTCTGTTTTACCAGTTCTCGTTTGAGTTCAGGGGTTTCTATCGCTGTCTTTTTTTTTACCTAGAACTGTGTGTTAGCTTTTCTTAGGCAGCCCTTTCGGCTGTTCTGGATGCAGTAAATTAGTCAATGTAAGCATGATTTTTTTGTCAATAATTATTTCAAGGATGATGCAATGTTTGAGGTGCTTCTTTCAAGGCTGGTTTTTTTGGCTAAGGCTTATCTAAAAGCCTTTAAATTTCAAGGCAATGACAAGCACAAATCCTGGAGTTTCGGTTTCGAAATGTGATTCATTTACTCTGTTTTCTCTCTGTGTACAATTAAAGCAGTATTACGTCCGGTATGATGGACATGGAACATTCTTACAGCTGATTTATGGCTTTGCTGGCCGCTCAAGTTGTTTTTGTTGATGTTGTTTCCAAACCAAAGCTGACATTGTTAATTTACGCCTAATTCATATTAATATACCCACATTTATTACGCACATTGTATTTTTTAAAATAACGAGCAGTATTCAAAACGTATCCCTATTCTACCTTTCCCAAGCTATTAATTCACGAAAGGAATTAGGAGTCAATGTTTTAGTACGGGTCTTATTAAATGGGGCTTTTTCATCTCCCTTTTTTTTTTTTTTGTTACAGAGACAGGAAGATAAATTTTTGTGAAAGTTGGAGAAGTTGACAAAAGTTATGATTGGCCACACACGCGCCCCGTCCGTATTGACAAATGGGACCCTGGTACAGTTAAGGCGGCTTCAAGAATCTCTACTTTTCCTGAAATGCAAATATTTTTTCAGTGCTGGCCGTGTGTAGGTAATCTGGAAATCAGCTTACTTACTACCTGAAACTTATTATTTCTTTGTGATACCCGTAAAAAGCTTTGTCCTTTTGGTTCTTTCCTGTGGTGGATGGAATGAGACATTTTGTGATGGTTACAAATTATTTGTGGTAACGCAGCTGATCTGTTCGCGTGTGTATGTGTGTGTAACTGAAGAAAGTGGCCCATTTGTCGGGTATACTCTTGGTGTAAGAACATTTTCTTAACAGAAAATTCTATGCGGAAGTCGTTCGTTGTACTGAATAAGATAATATTTCTCTTTTTTCACTAATCTTTAAGATATATATCTGGTTTTGTAACTTGTTAAAGTCAACTTTTATAAAGTATGGCTTTTTATGTTTTGCCTTTTTATTGACACCACATTGGGATCAGCCCAGCCAAGCAGATGATATATACGGATGCATATATTCCAGCAAATGAATACTTTTCATGCATTGTCCTGTTCACAGTACTACAATAATGAAAATGTTGCTATGCATCATGACTAGGAATCAACAGATGATGGGATGAGTCAAAACAACTGGACTGTCATTCTCTAATTGTTGGTTGATTTTAAAAGTTTACTGTGTTCTCAAAATAACTGACAAACAGATGAAAACAAAAACTGGTGTAGATGACATTCCTCTGTTAAACATATTATGTAAATATACTTTTTTGGCAAAGGGCTGTGTTTGTAGTGAACGCCTTACTACTTTTTGCCTTGAGTGTGACAACAGTTTTAGACTGGCTCAGAGTTAGCCGGCCCGGCGCGTGGGTCGTTTTCTCTGGTGTGCACACATTCCAAAGAACTCTCCTGGCCTAGCCTTTGTAAATTTTGTTTCCAGCAAGCTATTGACCTTAGTTTGTTTTGCTCAGGAATATGTGCCCTGTTAATCTGTTCAACCACCGTAGTCTTTCTATGTACAAGCCATCAATGCAGTTTGTATTATAATGACACTTGTTAATTCCGGGTCTTGAAAAAGGTGGGGGGTTGGGGTTTGCTGGAAATGTTATGGCAGTTCACAATGTGTAGCTGTTTCAATTTCAATCATACAGCTGTCAACTGACTTGAGACGTTAATTCTTTTGAATATCTTGCTTTTGTTGTTGATTTCTTCACCAAAAAGAATGTATGGTACAGTGCCCTCTATCAAGACATACTTATTATTAAGCTTTTTGCCTTTTGATTCAATGTTCATGATATCCCAGACATGCATTTTTTTTTATGATAACATATTATTGATTAAACTACACAGGACTCACAGCCTGTTTTGTGGGTGGTGAAAGTAGCTGGAAGCTGCTGGTGCTATTTTTTTTTCTTTTCTATCCCCTTGCCCCTTCGTTTTCTGTTCTTGTGAAAGTCTGTACGTCCAATCTGAGCATTTTTCCCTTGACAACTCTTACTCTTACTGTGTTCAAACAACAATCTTTGAGGTTCTTAGATTTTTATTGACAGTTTATCTTACCTTAATTTTGTAGTGCCACGTACCCAAGACCAAAGCCTGTACTGTTGGATTACTTTAGTTACGCTATTCAGGAAACTTTGTTGAAACAAAATTGACATGGTCTTTAGAATCTGACAATTTCAATAGACTCCTTGACTTTATTTGACTGATGATATGGTATATTTGTATCCAAAGGGGTTCTAATTCAAAGTACTTTAAATCAGTGGTGGTAATTTTGTTTTCCTACTGTTTAAGTTAAAAAACATAAGTTCATCTCACAATCCAGACTTGAGTTTCCAATAGATGTTGGTGTGACCCGTCAGTTAAGCTTTTGTAAATTTTTTTTTTGATATATTGATTGAATAAAATTTTGGTAATCCTTTTTTTGTTAACTATTATCAATTGAGTTTTCATTTCCTGACCCAATGTCTTGATGTGAGTGTGTGTGTGTGTGTGAACACTAAGTTAGTGAATTGGCTTAGTTCCAACCGTCAGGGATCAGACTTCTATATTGAAATGTGAAATGGTAGATCTATAAGTTTAACGTCCCTATCAACACTATTAGGTTATTTAAGAGGTGGGATCTCTAAGTTTAATATCCATCTCTGACAGGACAGAATCATATAGAAAATTAATGTAGAGTGCATTTCCCAAAGGACACAATGTCGTACTGAGCTGAGGTTCGAACCCCCGTGATTATGGGTCCGGTAGCATAACCACTTGGCTACTGACACCATGGACTTCTGTATTTATTTTAAGAAATGTTAAGTAGTGCTGTATTGCGGGGCGGGTGGTTGGAGGGTAATCTGGTCTGCACTGACTTCTTGTCGGTCTTAATATTACCCATCCCTTATAAATGTGATCGGCTCTACTAGTGTCCATGACCTTGTGGTTGTGCTTCTGTGTGTACTTTAAGACTTTTGAAAAGGGGGCTGTCGTGGTCTAGAGATACAGTGTTTGCCTCTTATTCAATAGGTCCCGGGTTTGAAACCTGACAGTGATGGAAAAGTTTCTTCAAAAAAATGTTCTCCTTTCACCTCCTTTCCTGCTTTGAAAACATTCTGTTCCCGTTATTTTATGCAAGAAAAATTCTGAAATTATGCAAACTGAGCCCAAAAATGTGAAATTATGCAATTCTGTTCATTTTAACAAAGAATGATAAAGGAAAATAATCAGAAATTATGAAAAAACTTATCAAATTTTGCTAAATTATGCGGGGTGCATAAAACCACGGGGACAGATCATTTTGTTGTATGCCGTTTTTAGCACTTTCTGCCCCCTCTTCTAGGCTCCTGACTCTTTCTGCTGCCTGGCTTTCTACTGCTACTTCTTGGCTCCTTTTTACTGCTGTCTTTCAGCCACACTCCTGATCTTCTTAGGGTACCATAGGTAAGATCTACCACCTAACCTTCTCAGGTAAGGGCAAAAGATTCTCGGAGGTTCCATGTGCAAGTTGCGCACGTTAAAGATGTCTTGGTGGCCATCACCCAGGCAAAATTTCAAAATTAATTGCTACCACCAAACTAAATAAACTTAAAGTGTTCTGTGCGCTCATACTCATATGACCTTATACATTTGGGAGTGCTGTAAAACATTTCCCGTGGGTGGTTTGGTGGTTTGCTCCTTCTTTCCCATCAAACTTGTATCGTCTTTATCTCCCCTCCTTCTTTTTGGTGTATGTTACTCTCTTGTAACACCTCTAATCTTCGGCACTTATATGACCTTATTGTGTTGCAAGTGTCATAAAACTCTTACTAAAACTAAAAAAACACTAACCAAAAAAAAAGACTAGAAAAGGAAAAAACGTTCCTTTGAATATATACACATGGACAATGAATATAGTCAAAACTTGACAATGAATTAACTTTGTATTACAATAAAAAATAAATTTTATTTACAGAAAGTGCAACAAAATATGAGCTTCTTACATACTACACACATACAAAGCAATCAAACATTACCAGCGTTGGGACCTCATGATAAGATCCAACTATTCTAATATTTTGTCCTTTTGGTCACAGCGGACATTACCCAAGACACATCTCTAGCTGCAGGGTGGACGGTCCCAGATCAATCTCTCAAAAAGGCATACTTGAACCTGTATTGTCTGAGGAGTTTATTTATAATGGTTCTCCAACCATTCGGTTTGGTTGTTTGTAAATGTTTTATGCCCGTTTCAGCACAATTTAGATCATTAAGAGGTGGGTTGCTGGAAAACTGTATGTGAGGGCCAATCCAGACTGAGGGAGGCAGCACATCCTTGCAAAAAGATGCGCAATATCTGCCCTGTGTGAGAAATGAACACTCATCTTTTACATGCATGACAAAGCTCTTAACCACTACACCAAAGACGCTGGTCGATTTGACTTTGTTGTGTCAGTTATGACCATTACAACTGAGTTCCTGTTCCCTAAATATTCTCATAGTGTCGGAAGGGGCATAAAACCCATACAAAGCAGATACCACAGACAGTAGGACTACCACTCCCAGAAAATGAAAGACAAATGGCATCTTCTACTGCAACCATGAAATTATAACACCCTCACCTACCCCCACCTCCATGCAAATATGTGGACATGCCTATATTATTTAAAGCTGGGTTTGGAACAGCTTGAAATTGACAATGAGACAAATCAGAAGAACTTCTCTCGGAAGTATCAGGGTATGGAAAAACCTTGCATGAGAATTATCAACACCGGCACTAGATTTTCAATGACGTTAGGACAATTTAAGATTTAAGAGCCAGAGAACTCCCTATTCTACTGTGAATTCTCATACCAAAAGGATAAAAAGATATTTCTACCTTGACATATTATCTTTATAAATACCACAATAGAACTACAATGTCTGGGACTGTAAATCAAGAATGAGATTTGCTTTCTCAAGACAAATGAGTAATTAAAAGAATCACTTATATTCACACCTGGTAAAAGCATAAAAACACTACTAACTTTGTTTTCTTTGCTCACAAATAATCTGATTCATAATTCGTTGAACTCATACAGTTTAACAGTTTTCTACCAATGACAATACCTTAAATTTTCATCTTAGAGAAAAATGTACAGTGATGTGATTTATGCCATCATTGACATTTTTGACACTGCGCAACTCTCTCAGACCTCCCGATAAAAATAAGAGAATAACAGTAGCTGTTATCACATGGACAGTGCTACAGATTTTGGGCCCCAAATTTGTCTCCCGTCCCAGAGGTCCTCTTCCATCAATCACTGGTCTTGACCTCATCACATTGCCATCCATCTGTGGCTGTATCCGAGCTGTCCTGCGCAGCCTCTGTCCACACACTCAAGTCTGGCAGTTCGCAGCCCGTGTAGGAACCACGGTCTCTGCAGCAGCGCAGCAGCTCCCGCCAGTTCACGTCCTGAAAATAGTGAAATGGTATAGGTTTAACACCCCTATTAATATTATTAGGCAATTTAAGAGGCGGGACCTCAGAGTTTAACATCCATCTCCAAAAAGACAGAGTCAAAAGGGAAAAGTGTAAAGTGCCTTTCTCAAGGACATAATGTTAGACCAAGCTGACGTTCGAACCCCTGAAACTTCAATCTCACGATTACAGGTCTGGTAGCCTAACCACCAGGCCACTAGTTCACAACCTGTTAAGAAGAAAGACACAGGAAAAGCAAAATCGAACACCAGAGATTGCATGATTTCACTTGTAGAACAAATAAGCTCAAAGACTGAGGCCTCAGTATCTTGATGTCAAGGAGATGGACTTGTTTGTGCATGAATATGGTACAATCCTCAACTACACAAGATACAATGCTGTATCCTTAGATTATGTTCTTAAATCAATCATACAAGGACCACTCAGCCATAGACAATAAACAATCAGCAAAGGAGGTAAACTAAATAATAGTGTCTGAAGCAACTTTCTCTTTACACTGTCCCTTATTTCTATTTCCCATCTTCACTTTTCAAAGTATTTCACAGCTTACATTTACACAGATTTTGAGTTACCTGTTGCTAAGCCGCAACGACAGAGTGGCAGAAAGCAGAACATATAACACAGTGTTAGTTACACTTTTTCTAACACTCAAACCACCAAACCAGCAGTTAGTTGCAACTGACTGTGACAAAACAAAACAACGAAGGCTACCTGCACCAGGACATGTGGGTTTCCGACAATGACGAGAAGAGCTTGTGCCCGAGTGATGGACACGTTGAAACGCTTGGGGCTGCTGAGAAATCCCAGACTGTGCCGAACGTCGAACCCTACCAGCTTCTCATTAGACCTCACCTAAGAGACAAAAGAGTTTTGTACCAAAAATAGAAGTCACTATTTGTACTACATCTAAGACTAATTTATAAACTTAATTCCATTTGAAAACGTGATCGATAAGACTGCTACCTGTACACAACAATACGCGATTCCTTTTATAGATCTCATCATCACAACATTTCTATTAATGTTCTGCAGATCGTGCTTGTAATAAATTCAACAAAGTAACAAATCATGTGCAGGTGGTTGGCAGGTGCTCTGGTGTGGTTTGTTCCTTTTTTTTCTAATCAATCATCTATTGTCCTTATCTCTTTCCTCATAACCTAAGTGTGTTACAATTGCCGTAAAACTCTTACTGAAACTAAAACTAAAACAGATCACTTGCAAATTGTTATACAAACCAGATGTCATCTATTCACAGAATGAGCAAGGGCAAAAAAAATAGAAAAGAAAAAGAAGGCTTTTTTCCCTCACTACAGAAGATAAGAAGATAGCGGATGAACTCCATTGATAGTCATATGATGGTGCACGTGACTAAAATTAAAAACCAACATGTGCCAGAAAATGCTGCTTGCAGAGCCCTCAAAGAAAAAATTGATGAATAGCACTGCTGAATTATTACATATTGTATGTATGTCTATATCGTCCTCTTTTGTCTTGAGAGTGGTCTCAGTGTGTGGTGCATGTGTTTGCTTGTCTGTGCGTGTGAGTGTGTGTATGGAGTATGCGTGTGTGAAAGTGGCAAAAGAAAAATTGTAGCACAACCCAAAAACTGTAAAAAGATTTCATGAGTTTGACAATTTTAAAAAAAGACCCAGTGGAGTCTACACAAGATAAAATTCATGTATAGTCTAACCCCCGCCACATCTTTTACCCTTCCCCTCATAACAGACATGATCATGCCCATAGAGATGATGACAGCTCGTTGTACCTGATACCCTGACCCCTGGTTAACTTTCTACCCCCCCCCCCCCCACCCTCCCAACCCCCAACCCCAACTTTTCCAAGGTAGAGACAAGAGACAAAATCTGATCACTAACCGTAGAGATGATGATGGCTTGCCGTTCCTGACCTTGAAACTCTTCCACTGAGCCAACCTTGACCTCTGGCATATTTAGACGATCCATCATCATGCGAATTTTCTCAACCTGAGACATCAAGAAAAGTATCAACATCTGTTTTTGGCTTAAGGAATATGTGAAAGATAGGGGGTAAATGAATAACAAGCTACAATGCTGTATGTCCTTTTGAAAACAAATACAGCAAAGTAGACAGGGCAGGCCTGAGAAGGGACTTATTGTTAAGTCATATGAGCATTCTATCTGAAGTGCATAGCTATAAATAAGCACTTTATCTTACTTAGATTTTCGTTTTGGCTGCAAACACAAATCAATACATTTGGTAACAAGATGGACAGTGATATTTAAATTACGTAAAGAGAAGCAGCCCACAATCAGAATTTGATATTGCTGAGATTTGAAATGATAACATGGCTTTGAACTCACGATTTATCGACTGGTCTAAAATTGTATCACTGAAATTATACAAAGCCCATTAACATAGACGATGACAGCCTCAACATATGAAGCCCACCTTTTATGCTGCAGTATAAATATGTTTCTATGCCATTTATGTAACCATTGTTCACTAATATTACTTTCACTTTCTTTTTCACCAATCACCCCAGCAAGTTGCCCATACAGCCCACCACAGAGACACTAACTGAGCTAACTGCACGCGCATGGTCAAGTCCCTTTCAGCCTTCGGCGCCCCCTCCCCCCCAAAAAAATAATAAAGTCACTAAAAAAGACATAACACATAAATTTATGAAACAGATTCGAAATAAAGTTCGGTAAGAAATCACTAGCGACCCACCTGTTTCCTGTACGGGGTAATGATGCCGATGTCATCTGGCTCAACGTCCTGTTTGAGCACCCGCTGCAGATACTGCACCACCTGGAGGGTTTCCGCAGGGTTAAACCAGCTGGGGCTGTCGTTTTCCCGAACGTCTTCTCCCTGCAGGTCACACATGCCAGAAATATTAGCCTTCACTGCGCCTTTAAAGAATAATAATAATAATAACATTTAACATTTATATAGCGCTATTTCCAAAAAAGTAGCTCAATGCGCTTTACATTGGAATACCCATTTTCAATACCTTCCTTACTGCTTCCTTTCTTCTCATGCAATATATATTTTTTATGCACACACACACACACACAAAAACACACACACACACACACACACACACACACACACACACACAGAAATACAGTTGATATTGTCCAAGATGGCCACCCGTTGTTGAGGAGAAAGGTGGTTGTCTCCGACAGGTGTACGTCTTCGGCAAGGTCATTATAACATAGGAAAAAAGACGAAAAAGGTTAAGTGAGCAGTGGCTGTTGGTACAGAGTCTTAGATAGATGGCCATTTGAACAGGTTCAACCGTATAATCTTTTAGGGAAAAGCTAAAAACATCTTTGACAAAAATCATTATTGAAAAATGAATTAAGACTTTCCATGCAGATTGCCTCATTATCTTGTACTGCCTGACAAAACCAGGGAACGCAGGAGGCAACATTCCCCTTGCTACATGGTTCCATACCAACAAGGTAACATCCATCACAAGAAGTTCAAGGCTAAAAAAGCATGTACTGACCATTAGTTACACATAATCTTGCCAGCATGCTCCTGTATAGACACTATATTCACAGAAGAGGTCTACACGACAGAAAATGTCCAGCGGTCAGACATAAAGAATAGGTTAGTAGCCTACAACATACAGACATTTCTTTTCTAGAAAAGAAAAACTTTTCATAAAGAAATCACAACTTTTTTTTGCAATAGCTTCTTTTTTTTATATGATTTTAAATAAGTTTGAAACTAGACCCTTTTCATCAAGAAATCTCAACTTTTTTTGCAATAGCTTCTTCTTAGTTATATGATTTTAAGTAAGTTTGAAACTAGACCCTTTTCATCAAGAAATCCCAACTTTTTCAGCAATAGCTTCTTTTTCAGTATATTATTTTAAATAAGTTTGAAACTAGACCACTCACCCTGACACCGTGGAACACCACCGGCAGTCCAGGTGTGGGAAGAAAACTGGCGGTGACCAATGTGTTTGTGATGGCCGGCGGGCCCAGCGGGAGGAGCTGACTGTAGTAGAACAGGCGAGAGGGTAGCTCCAGGATGGACGGGTGTGACCGGTAGTTGCTGACCAGCATCGTCACCTGAAAGACACACCAGGGTGAAGTCAGTGCCAGATTAACCCCTTCATGACTTGTACGGCATACGCTGTTTGTCATTGTTTCTTAAACGGCGTACGAGCCAAGATACTGCTGTGATGTACGGTGTTTGTCATGCCTTGCAAAGCGCGAGGACCATGATGACGAACACTGTTTGTCAAGATGATGAACGCTGTTTGTCACAGGATGTATTCTGCAAACTGCTTCTGTTAGAAGCATTTCGTAAAACTAATCGCAGATTCACATTTGGGAATATTTTTTTCCGTACAGAAAAATCTTTTCCTTTTAGATATAATTAGTAGTATTTGCACACTGAGTCTTATTATAGGACCACTGAACAGCTACGGCACAATGGATAAAAGTTCCAGATCAGTAAGAACAAGTAAATATATATGAAATATTTGAGAGATAATCAAAGGAAGCAATAACAGAACTAACTTTTGAATGGCAAAGCCAAAACATTTGATTTCCAACAAAATGAAAGTTACAAAACGTTCTAAAATGTCTCACCAAAAGCGGGTCAAATCCTCCGTGCTCGGCAAAGGTAACTTCGTCTCTCTGGTACTCCGCCCGACCCATCAGCCGCTCCAGAAGGGAAAGTTCAAGGCCATACATCTTGGCAAAAGGGGACATCACTATGGGGCCTAGCTGCTTGGGATCTCCAGCCAGTACAATCTGCAAACAGAAAAAAATAAATTGAATGAGCATTCCACAAAAATTGTACCATATAATTTGAGTATTGTCCACATTCATATAAGATTCATATCATTCGTATATCATTCGTATTCACTATCATGAGCTATGAGCTAGAAGAATCCAAGTTCTTTAAAAGAAATAAAACTGCAAATTGTTTGGAAAAGCAGGCTTTTTCGACTGCATCAAAAGAAGATTTTGCAACCCCAGTTGACAACTTAAGTGTTCACATACGTGTCCACGACACCATTGCTTCACACGCTACGTTGGCCAAAAGAAGAAAAAGTCAAGATATATGAGCCAAAAAATTCTGGCTCCATCTTATCTCTTGAGTCAACAGAAATATGATTGTTCATTTATTTCGTGGCATTCTCAGCATGCATTTTTTTCCTGCTAATTAGACCTACTTATTTTCAATTTTATTATAGTATTGGAAGTTTCATGTTTATTATTTGTACCATAGATGGACTTATTTATAATCAGAGCTTATTAGAATTTATTTCAGTAGGTTCTCTAACGACAACAGTAGACATTTCTCACCTGTCCATCTCCCCCACACAGAAGACCAATGGGCACCAGGCTCTCTGGTTCTGTGGCTTGACCAGCCTGATTAACATACAGGTAAGAAAGAAAGACAAGCAAAAGTTGGCAACTCAACAGGCTGAAGTCAGAGACGAGAGACAATACGAAACATAGAAAGTACACAAATGCATACAGAGTGATCCAACCATACCAGGGAAGGCATAAATCCAGAACTTTTTTGTGAACACTTATTCTGTTCTTCTGCTTCTGTATTCCATTCTTGAATCTCAATACAGCCTTCTGTGGCTGTTCTAACATACACCTAAAATATATCAATGATACTAGTACAAGCTTACTAAGCTGCAATATTGTATGTCCCACTGGTTGAACTGAAATGGTTAACTGGCCAAGGGAGTTACTGTGAAGTCATGTGAACCTGCACACGACTGTAAATGTGCACTTTACCTTTGACAAACAAAGCCTAGTTTTTCAAACTGCGACATTATGCATCATTATTCTATACTTTGTATTACACACTATGGAATGGGTTTCCCACTCCTCTTAAACACTAAAAGTAAATTCAAGAATCCCGTGTTTAATATCCATTTCCAATAGGATAGTGGATGGAGATGCAAAGCTTTGAAAAACTCCCCAAAACAACCTATATCCACAGGTGTTCTAATAGAAATCCTGTTCATGTACTTGAACATGGCATTATGAACTCTGTGCTTTCATTTAAACATTTTAAGTAGCCTAACGTACATGTGGGCAAAGACTGTGGTCAATATGAAGGAAGATGCTAATGCTGGTAGATGTGTAATACAGATTGAAAATAATACATTTGGATCAGAAATGCTAGTCTGCTAACAACAAGAATAATCCAAACTAAAATACCATGAAAGAGTTCCAAGGTGACTTCACATAAATATTAACATCATTCACATTTAAGAATAAATTGTATATTGACAATGCCTGATGCCATTCCAGTCACGAACCTCGTCCACAAACACGTGTGTGATGTGTCCAGCACTGAGTCCCAGACCGTACAGGCTGCCCGCCATAGTGCACGTACACACGATGACTCGGTGACGGGCAATCATTCGTAAATCTTCAGCGAAGCGGCAAACAGGCAGGATGCATTCTGGGATGGCCTAAATTTTGAAAAAAGGAATTTTTTTTTAAAACACCGTAATTTAGGCATCACAAACTTTTCCATAATTCAGGTTTCTAAGAGCTGAATTTATCCCAATAATTCCATTTTCAAATAAGATCTTGCAATTTATACGCAACATGTTGAAGGTAGATAAACCTTATGACTCAGTGTGTAATACGTACAGACGAACTCAAGTAAAAGAGTCTTGTGCATCAAATACTCTGCTTCTTTGAAATTTCATTCCATTCAAAGTTCTATTTAAAAGTGAAATAAAACTTCGGATCAACAACAAAAATGAAATAAGATAGAGATACTATTAAGGAAAGCCAAAACATCCGCATTTGGTCAGGTTGTGGCAGTAACAGAGTCCCGATTATTTAAGCACAATAAACAAGAACTAATTTGAAGAGCCGTGCAGCAAGCCCAGCCTTTATAAATGCAGGAACACCTGAAGCCATGACTGATGTGTCAAAGGCCAAACACACATGTTGCTCAAAGTAAAAAAAGGCACTTACCTCCAGGGATCTCTGAAAAGCATTTAACCTGACCAGATCTGTCTGCTTGACAGCTCCACTCAGGAACAGTCTCTCAGCCTGGAAAAGTAGAAAGCACAGTGGAATATTCCATGGCTCTAATTGTCATCATTCATGTTGTAGATACCAGCACTTCAGAAAAACAAGCACATTTCTCCTGAATACTAACGACATCCAGAAAACCCCCCAAAAACCACAAAATTTCTACGATATTCATTCTTAACCTACCATTCCTTCCTCTTTAAAAAAATATGTTTAAAAAATTTAGATACAACTATATAATCTTTAAGAAGATCTCAAAGTGTTGTTATACAGAAAGTAAACCCAAAAAATAATATTTACAAAACATGACGAAAGAAATCCTAAAGCTTGCAGGATCAGGTTATTCAGGGCATTGTTAGATTGAGGTGACGGTAAAACAGATGATCATGAAATGAGGAGGAGCATGACGTGGAGAGGGTGTGATAAGTAGAGGTCCATAACACTATGAGGACTGTAAACCAGATAACCAGATAGAATCGTAACACTAAAAGGATTTTAATGTCGATCATAACACAGAGAAGGACGTCCCCACTCACTATGAGATCAGCAGCGCTGTTGGACGGAGTGCAGGCCAGGATGCGACTGTGGGGAACACGAGTCAAAACCTGCAGCACGGCCTCCACCAGTGTCATTGTCTTGCCAGTTCCTGTAAGGACACACACACGTACAATTAGGTGAGGAGGTGCACTGGGGGAGGGGGGATCTCTGGAGGAAACGAGATGTGAGCGTGCGCGCGGGTGTGTGTTGTGTATGTGTTGTGTATATGTGTGTGTGTGTTGGGGGGGTGGGGAGGGGGAGTACAGAGAGAGAGACAGGTGATAAAGAATGAAAGGGAGGGAGGAAAGTTCAAGTAAGAGTTACATGGCACTTGCAACACAAATAGGTTGTATAAGTACAAAGGATTAAAGGTGTTACTAGAGAATAACATACAAAGAAAAGAAGGAGGAGAGATAAGGAAGAAAGATGTTTGACAGGAAAAAAGGAGCAAACCACAACAGAGCACCTCCCAGCCTCCAAGAATACCCCAGCAAAAGATAAGGAGAAGAGCAGCCTTGAGGAGAATGAGCTATTGGTCAGTTACATACCTGGAGGTCCAAACACCACATAGGGTGATGGCCGCCCCTGCCCAGCCAGGATGTTGATCACCGCCGTCTGTTGTCTTTGGTTAAGCTTTGGATTGAAGAATGAAACATCTTTGGTGTGGCTACGTCGGTTCGAACCAGTCATCCGTTGTTGAGACTTTGTCAGAGGGTCGAAAGGCTCACACTTCTGGGCAGAATCCTGTCTGCTCTGAGTGTACAGTGCTCTCTGATGCTGATGTTGCTGCTGCTGCTGCTGTTGTTGTTGCTGTTGTTGCTGCATTCCCATCTGCTGACATGTTGGGTCTGACTCTGAGCTGTCATCATGATTGCTAGCTACAGCATTCTGAGCTGAGAGATGATTTGTGATGGAGGACAAACTTGATATCACATCTTGACTGACTTGAGAGGGACGAATTTTGACTTGTCTTGGGAATAAAACTGACAAAACAAATGGAAACCATAGATAAGTTAATAAGTTTTGATGACCATAAGGGACAAAGAATACAAATTTATGAGCACCTCGTATTATGATGACCACATAAGATGACGATAAGAACCTTCTGTAGAATCTCATTGAGGTTAGTTCGAATATGTTCATGAATGAGAAATTTGAAAGTTGAACTGTTGACTTCAAATTGTCAGATATGCATCTAAACTTTCTTTTTCTTGATACAAATGCACTTCAAAGTGAGTATACTTCCTAGAGGTCCCATAAAAAAAACAGATGGCCGTTCTTTTGCATGCCAGCAGGAAAAGTTATCCTTTTTTTTTTACAGTGGAATGAAACAAAGGCACATCCATGCCCCAAAGTACCCTTATGATGCTTTGTCTCAGCCTCCCTCCTTTCCTTCTTCCTTTTCTTTCACTTTTCTTAAAAAGCGAAAACATCTAGATTGAAATTGACTATTTGAGAGGAGCATGTAACCCATACAAAATGCCACAAAATTATATCTCACTAGACAGAACGACCAACTGTCTGTATATCACTTCAAATTACAAATACCAGCAGTGACAAAGACATGAAAGTGTCGCTGATACAACAAAAAGCTAAGAGGAAAAAAAACTTCCTTATCCAGAAAGGAAAAGGCAGTTTGGCTGCTTGTCTGTGTTGCCCTGACCTACCTGGAGAGCCCAGATACTGGACGGCCATGGAGACACCCTGGTGGCATCGACGGAGAGGTGTCCTACACACAGGCAAAAATAGAAATATCTAATTCGATATCTATTTCACAGTCACAAAATAGACTTTAAAAATGGCAGATTTTTTAAATCTTTGAATACAGCAACAAAAACATATAAGCTCAAATTCAGAAGGCCTGAAGGACCAGAGAAAGAGTAGAGAAAAATTACCAAATCAAATCTACTGATTTCACAAAACAAATCACGATAGAAAACCCCACTGACGACATCAAACCAAAAGCAGTGTTAGATATCTCTATATTGGCTGAAGTCCCTCCACAAATTATCATCAATAACAATAGATTTTAGAGAATTATGCAAAGACAATAATGAGATAAAAATTTAAAAAATAACAAGTTTCAGGTGGACATCTTCCCAATCCAAATCAAGTTGTCATGATTCACAAAATGCTCCATTCTCACTCAGCTCCTGTTTTCCCAAACCTAAACCCATCCAAGCTAACTTCTTTTTAAAAAAAGGAGAGCACAAATAGGTCAACGACTCCATTACCTTAAAGAGCTAAAAAATTAATACAACCTAAAAGAAAATCAAAATGTTATAGCAAGTGCAGATTTGAAAGCTAAAGGCAGGAAGTTGGCATGACAACCAAGTTCTTAGGTCACTGGCCTCAGCAATACCATGGAATTTTATAACCTGCCGACATCTCAAGCAGTACACAACAACAAATTCAGAAATTTTTAAAGCTCATTTTAGGAGCACAAAACAGTTTGCAGGCATAACCTTAACACATTCATCTCACCTGCTAAAGGTAAAAATGACATTGTAGTCTTCCCCGGAGTAGCGAGAATGGAACTCTGACGTGAACTTGAGATGAACGGCTGAACAAGACATCTGCACAGGAATAAAGGGGACATGGTAAAAGAAGATGACAGTCACAGATCTACCAGACTTAGCTTTGAAAAAAACATCACTGTCCCAATAGATAATTTTCTCTACTACATAGTAGAGTAGTGGTGGGTGGGCATTATGTCCTGCAATTAACAAACATGTATACAAGCACATACATCTCTTCACACAAACTACATGCACACACTCACACACATACACAAAGCACTCACTAACAAAAATAGCCACATACACTTACAAATTCACAAATACGCAAACACAAAACACTCACACACACACACACACACACACACACACACACACACACACACACACACACTCACACACACACACACACACATAAAAAACCACTCATACACACACATACATAAAAAACACACACACACACGAACAAATACACACAGACACACACACACCACCAAAAAACACACACAAACACACACACACACACACACATTAAAAAACACTCGTACACACACAAAAACACACAAACAACAAACCTCATGAACAAAACCCTCGTAGGTGGGACCATCTGGGTCACTAGGACTGGACAAGAGGACTTTGTCCCCAATGAGGACGGAAGGACGTCCTTCAGCCAGCCCTGGCACGGTCAGGGCCAGGAACTCTCCTACAGGCTGAAGACACACCTGACAAAGGAGGTAAGAGAGAAAATATTTACTAGTACGTTACGAGAAACACATGAAAGGGAGGCAATGGAGAAAATACAGATATGTCTTGATAGGCCTTTAGGTCTAATGCCCTTATAAACACAATATTATGGCTGCCTTTGAAGCCGTAACACCAAATCAACGTCTATTTCCCTTAAGATTAGGCCAAATGCGAGGAGCGTCTTGACAACTCTCAATAAAAAGTTCAAAAACACCCAGATGGGAATGCAAATTTATTAGAGTCATTCACACCATAGTCCAGCACAATACCAACTGAGCTATTAGAGCCACAACCCAAATATTTATTCTCAATAGGTTTGTTATACGAGACAACAACAGGCCACATTGTTGGAAATAGAGTAAGATAAACATCATTTAAAAAATTTAATTTCAGCGCTGGTAGTAGGCAATAAACATTCTCTTTTATGAACAATTTCAGACAGAAAAATTAATGGTAACTGAAAAAGTAAAACGGAAGGATAAAAATCTAAATCTGAAAAAAGAACATAACCTTGAGGGCAAAAGTGGGGAATTTTTCTCAGTAACTTTAGAAATGAGCTTATCTTGCTTGGCAAGAAAATGGACAAACACAACGCATACGAAGAGCATCTCACCCGGTTCATATCAAACTCTCGTATGTCCATCTGGAGCTGTATCTCTTCCAGATGTAACAACGTGCTCATACGAGTCACATAGTTACGGAATGACAGCACCTGCAGAAGAATACATACGTTGAAATATGCAACATGAGATTAAGGACTGTGTATCTTAACAAACACATGGGTCGCCACCACTCGGAGAATGAGCGACGCTTCTGTCACAAGTTCATGTTGACTTCCTTTGTTACTTTGTTACAGACTGGGTAAACATTGACCACTCATCTCACTTATGATTTGTGTATGAGTTCTGGGTGGGGCCTTATGGGTTATGAGGGATCACAGGCTTACCTCACCACAGGTGCCCATTTTACACAGTTAAATTATATAGAAAAAACGCAAGGGGGAGAATGGAAAGTGGCCGTTTGTACAGGTGGCCGTCTTATAGAGGTGGCTGTCAGGGCAAGTTAAACTGTATATTCATCCTATAAGAGATGTTGAGACATATAAGGAACACTATCTATCATATATTTTCATATATTTATAAGGTGGTAAGTAAAAAAAGATGACATCCTTTCCCATAAGATGTACTCTTATGCAAGGTCAGCTGATGAGCATCAAAAAGTCTTATTTTTACGGCACAAAAACACGGAATGCATTTCGTCAAATATGGTTTTATTCTGACTGGAGAGGAAACTTTTCTCTGCATTTAAATGTGGCGTAATAAACCTTATTAACTAAGTCTCTTAATAAAGGCTGTCTTCTTCTTGTTCCCACGTTTTAGCTGTTAATTTCTTTGCCTGTTTTGTTTTTGTGTAATTTGTATGAAATAGAAATGCAACTCACCGCAAAAAGTTACGACAATTTATTTTATTCAAAGGCATGATTATCAATTTTCAAGCAAGATTCATGTCAACAATCAAGTCTCGTCAAATCCCTCATTGTGTGTCTACTATATATATATATATATCTCACCTGAGCCAGGCAGGACACTGTGTCAGTCAGCTCCGTCTGCTCTCGCACGGCGAAGTCGAGTGAGTCCGGCACTGAGAACTGTGGAAGCTTCACTGGGAGAATCAGCTTTTTCTGAAAGCTAAACGCGGCATAAAGAAATAAAAAGAGGTGATTAAATTGAACTGAAATAATGTTTGGACAAACTGATGTCCCTTTGTATCACACGACCTTATTGGAATGAGGATGGGAAGCACAATATGATGATTTTTAAAAACATTTTGTTTTATTTATTTTAGTAAGTGTATTACGGCACTTGCAATACAATAAGGTCATATAAGTGCCGAAGATTAGAAGTGTTACAAGGGAGTAACAAACACAAAAAAGAAGGAGGGGAGATAAAGACGATAGATGCTTGATAGGAAAGAAGGAGCAAACCACACTAGAGCACCCGCCAATTTAAAGGCAAATTTCTGTCAAATGAAGGGGAACAAATCATGTAAATGTCCCTCTTGGTTAGAAATAAAGTTCCTGGCCAGTTCCCCACCACAACATTTAACAGTAGATACAATTACTTCACAACTTTATCTTGTAAATAAAACTAGCTCACTAAAGGGGCAAGAACAAACATCTTTCCCTAATTCAAGAACAGTAAACCAGGGGCCCCTGATGAAGACAAACATCAAAACTTCTGTCACAACAAACATCCACTCACTTCATTGGTCGCTGCCCAGGCACCACCCACGACTGTCCTGGTCTCTCGGCTGGCTGCCGGAACTGCTTGGACCTGAAGTAACCATAGACGTAAGGACACATCAGTTAAAGGTAGTCATATCTCAGAAACAGTTAGAAAAATGTGTGTACACAAACACAGAAGTCCAATAGAACATGAGAATGTACGTAAATTCAATGAGCTGTTCGTTTGAACATAGATAGTGATGTCATCAAGTTACAAAAACCTTTCTTACAAACAGTAAATTTATTCCAAAATGGGCTAAGCGCTTACAATTTCCAAAGACAGTTTCAAATCTGGAACTTGAAGATTAAAAGTACAGAATCATTGGTACACACAAACTTTACAACAACAAAAAGAAATTACAATCAATAAAATATTGCCAAACATACATTGTAAAGAGCATGATATTACATGCTCAAAGACAATTCGGATCATATTATTTAGAACACAAAATACATGCTAAAGGCAAGACAAAGCCATAAGAAGGATGGAGTGGTGTGAGTCACCATTTAGAAATTCTACAAGAAAATTAACTAAAACTTAAACTCTAATCTGACCAGTCAAATGAAACAAAAGGAACAGTCTGTGAAGAGACGGACAGCTAGATTAAAGAGAAGTGAAATTTGTGGATAACCTGTAGGCAGAAGCTTCACTGGACAGTGGAACAATGCTGACTGCTCTCCATTCACACTGGCCCTGAGAGCTCTCAACTGCTTTCAAGTGGACAATGTCCTTCTTCCTGGGACGGTAACCATTGAGACACGACTCCAGGGTGAAATAAACCTGTAGATTACATTGTTTATAGTACAGGCAATTTTCAGATTTATCTCACAACAATTTTACCCAATACATTTTAGGAAAGCTCCTGTCATATCTTGTTGTTTGTCTTTTGAAATCACGAAAGACATACATATTTGATCATGATGTCTTAAATGCAATAATTTAATCTAGAGGGTTTTTTCTTTCCACTGTGTTCCACATCACACCTACTCAGGTCTCATGACAAAGTGATAATATTTGAAATTAGACCCTTTTTTTCTTTCATCTTTAACAAATAAAAGATTGGGAGGGAAATAGACTTTGCACACAAGCACACCATCTAAAATCTGACTAGGAGAAAATACTTATCCATCTCTGTAATTTTTCTGGGATATAGAATCCCTCTCAGCCCAAGATGACATGATCAAGTAGGGTTTAATCAGACGACAGATCAAGATTGGTCCAGTGACAGAGTAAAACATTTACTACAGTACAGAAGCCATGGCCCTGTATAACAGTTATCCTTATGACAAAGCTTGAGACAAACAAACCTCCCCATTGATGTAGCCATGGTCTCTCATCACAGCGGTGACACTGCCATCTAGTTCCATTTCCCGAGAGGGTTGCACATGGACAGCCTTTCGTCGAATGAGGACATCAGAGCCACTCCATTCATCTTCAACAGCTGTGGTAACACGTTTTGGTATATACCTTTGCAGTGTACAGTTACACGATTCAATGACAAAACCAAAGTAGAAACCCAACAATCAAAATGATGATAGAAAAACAATATCCATTTCCTTGCTATTTATTGAAATCTGTTTAAAAAACATTTATACTGAGATGTATGGGCAATCATATATAAATGCATATCCGGTATATGATGACACATCCTCAGAAGTAAACAGGAGACCAAAAATCTTAAGAATGTTTCATTCCTCAAGAGAGCATCGGAGAATTAAACTTGAAATAAATAAGCAGTGAGTTTAGTCCTTAGAAATGGTATGTTATCTTTTTTTTTTCTTTCCCACAGCTGTAACTGAGAGAAAGGTGCTACACTGTGTTGAACAGCAATAGTATGATTTGTACTATCGACTGTGTTGGTGTTATTTGTGCATTTTGAGACATTTAATCACTTTATTTTGGCCATTGAAAGACATAAAGGCTGTCTATCATTTTTATAAAGGATAAAAATAAGAGGTATTTCAATCACTGACCTACAGTTTCCTTTACTTCCTCCACATTAGCACTGACCCAGTCACCTCGTTTGGGGACATAACCATCGACACAATCCTCCAGCTCAAACTCAACCTCTTTGTCAATCATTCCCTGCCCTCGACACCAGCTCGTTACTTGGCCCACAGCCACATTCCTTTGTAGTTGTCGCAGGTCAACCTCTCTGTGGCCATCTTCCTCTTCTGCCACTGCATCCCAGTCCCGGTCTGTCAAGTGGATCTGCTCTGCGTGCCAGCCTCCGTCCTCGCTGAACTGCACCGCAACAGTGTGGACATTGTCTCCAACCTTAAGATAAACCATACAATAATAATAATAATAATAATAATAATAATAATAATAATAAAAAATAGCATTTGTATAGCGCATAACCCCGCTCTACAGCAAGCTCTATGAGCTTTACACTATATTATTACCCCAGCAGACCATAGAACACTCAGAAACATTCTCAGCTTTCAGGGAAGCATACAGTGCAAGCAGCTGATTAAGCGCTCAGACATTTACAAACTGACAAGATCTTTCACTGTCTATAGCTGGGTACCCATTCCCACCTGGGTGAAGTGAGGAAAATTCGTACACAGCACCTTTCCCAAGGACACAACATACCTGGTCCCTGACGGTATTCCAACCCACAACCTTTTGGTTGCAAGTATCTGAACCTAATCGCTAGGCCACCGACGCCACATGAATATTGATGGTGAGAGGTTAGAGGCCAACATGAGCAAATATATTGCACTTCCTGCCTGCAAACCATGCTGCACACTTAACTAATTGTGTGTAACTATAGAGCAAATGGGCAATCGCACAGCAATGGGAACATGATCTTCAGCAGTGCCTTCTACGGAGAGGAAAAACATTTCCATGAAGCATCGAAGACAAGTGTTTATTAGTCTCTGTCTTACACTGTAATGACCATCTATTATGTCCGCCTTAGATTTAAAAGAAGTCTGACCGAAATTATAGTAGAATAATGACAAAATACATTATGTAGACCTGAGAAATGTTGTTCATATTTTCACACTAGAATTTACCTCCAATGATGCCGAAAGGAAAGCAAATTTCCATTGTGGTTAGGAGAAATCTTGGCTTGCATTATAAAGAGGAGAGGTGTATGTAAACAGTAACAACCACAAATGCTGTAATATTATATGTTGACTTCAGAGGTAACACATACCTGTAACTTTTCATTGCCAGCCACAGTTTCAGATGAGAAGTAAATGTGTCCATCAATGAGGCCATGCCCATGGAAAACATGAGTCACTTTCCCGTCAACCGCTCGTCTCTGAGTGGCATCTGCCGATCTAACGAGAAAAGGTGCGTCAGCAAGCTCCTGCTGCTCATACTCAGGACTAAGAACATTTCCATTTTGAGAGTTGGCTGCCGACTTCAGATCTTGTTGAGATTCAGTTTGGCCAACAAAGTAGCCCACGATGTTGGAGATAAGACTGAACATGCCTTGGTAGTTTCAGCTATCTATCCATTGTTAGCCTGGAAAAAAAAATTGAAAAAAATGTTGGATTGTTTCTGGTTCAACTTTAACAAATATTTGTAAAGCAATTAGCGACTGAAAAATCAAATGAAACATTCTCAGCTTCCCGGGAAGCATACAGTGCAAGCAGCTGATTAAACGTTCAAACATTAACAAAATGACAAGATCTTTCACTGTCTATAACTGGGTACCCATTCCCACCTGTGTGAAGTGAGGAAAATTCGTGTAAAGTGCCTTTCCCAAGGATACAACGTCGGGCCCCTGACGGGATTCGAACCCATGACCTTACGGTTGCGAGTCAGAGAGCCTAATTGACCACTAGGCCACCGGCACGACACATATAATATTATGCTGAATATGCAAGTACAAAAGCAAAGGAAAAGTTACAGTACAGTAGAAGCAGTGTCTACTGTAAATTAGTGAAAGTGCGCATGGTCATTCACTGTCACAGTCACACGTTTATGATTTTGAAAGTATTGTAAACAATGACGTATTGCCATTGTATATTATAGCCTACTTTTACTTTTGGCATGTGCATCATGTGGGCTATAGACTATAGTAGACTATCATTATAAAGTTTTATAAAATAAAGTGGCTAATACTAGATCTAGATCTAGATCTAGATCTAGATTTATATCTATAATAGCCAACCTTTATTCTTGATTCTTTATGAAACCAAACAAAAGCAATGCTGGCCACAGGCCACAGTCACTCAGGTGTATATCTGAAACACGGATAAGAAGCAGCAATTTGGGATGTAGATCTAGAAAATCTAGATTCGATTAGATTTATAACTCGCAAGATTTCCTTGAAGTAAGTAAAAAACGGGATATTGAAAGACGGGAAGAACAAGACTAATGAAAGGAAAACCGAAAGTAGAACATTAGGGCCCGTGTGATTCGAAGTTATTTCCCCTGACAAAGTGGGTGGAAAGGAAGGGGGAATCACTCACGTTGGACAAGATGTCTGGGGTTGACAACAGCAGTTGTCTTGCTCTGCCAAATTGGTTGAGTATGAATCAAAGATTTACGCTTTAAAAAGGAGATAACTCTGTGGTAGGGAATACTGCAATCTGATATTATAATTATGTAACCCTACTTTCATGCTATTCAACTTGGAATTTATTTGCATGCATTAGCGGGGAGAAGAAGAAGAAGAAGAAGAAGAAGAAAAAGAAGAAGAAGAAGAAGAAGAAGAAGAAGAAGAAGAAGAAGAAGAAGAAGAAGAAGAGGAAGAAGAAGAAGAAGAAGAAGAAGGAAGAAGAAGAATGATTATGAAGGAATAGGAGATGGAAGAGTAAGGATCGGAAGGTGAAAGAGGAGGAATAAAGAGAATGCAAAGAGGGCCCTGGGAGAATGGTAATTGGCAGAGGGTAGGCCTACAGCAAACAAAAATCACTGTGAGGGTCTTGATTACAACCCAACAACAACTTTTACTCAAGTTCATAACCCGCTTTCCCTATCTCGAGACATAAGCTAATAAATTGCAACGTCTTAAGATCTTGATAATACGTGCATGTATAACCTCCGTAACATTAAAGAGGGCGATAGCTATGAAACGTGTGCACTCAGGGAAATGCTCAAAGTCAAAATAACAGTGCAATCTTCTGTCTTGCGTAATATAGACAGAGAGAAAGAGCGGGAAGAAGAGGTATGGACGGGGAGAGAGGGGGAGAAGGGGTATGGATGGAGAGAGAAGGGGGAGGGGTGTAGAGGGTGGAGAATGGGTAGGGGAGAGAGAGAGGGGGGGGGGTAATGGAAAAGGAGGATCGGGAATGGTCTTTCGTGTCTTACCACAAATGCATGCCTGTATACACGAAACATTAGCCTTGTGCCCTACTTGTGCCTGTCAATTGCAGTATACAATAACAGCGCTGATGTGAGAGAAAAAAAATCAGTGGGGCTCTCGTGGTCGAGAAGTTACAGTGTTCACCTCTCATTCAATAGGTGCCGGGTTTGAATCGGGATAACGACGAAAAATTTTGTTCCCTAAAATTGTCTCTTTTCACATCCTTTCCTGCTCTCTAACACAATATGCTCTGTCGTCTGCTTTCATCTCCACTTTCTGTCCCCACCCCCTCACTCCCTTTGCCCCCTCGGGCTCCTGACTCTTTCTGCAGTCGTTCTACCGCTACTCGACCTTGGCTCATTCTTACTGCTGTCTTTCAGCCACATCCCTGATCTTATGGTAGGAAAGATCTACACATATATAACCTTCTCGGATAAGGGCGAAATATTTCGGAGGTCTCATGTGCTATGCTCACATTAAAGATTCATTGGTGGTCCAAAATCGATACGAGTAGGCTTCGGCCGCCATGCCGGGTAAAATTCAAAACGTCCTACTGAAAATATTTAATGTGTCTCGCGCGCTCACATGACCTTATGCAGTTGCGAGTGCCGTAAAACACTTACCAAAAAAAAGCGATAAAACAGAAGATTTTTTTTTTTTAATCAATCTAAATCTTGAAATAAGTAAACAGTACAAATTCAACTGTGTCTAGTGTGTGTGCTGTCTTTGAAAGTGGGCTGGTCTTTCTTTTATGATATAATAAAATTATGTATGCAGAAGATTCCACATATGTTACAGTAGTATATCGGATCTCTAATACATGCATTCGTCTCTGTGGCTGTTTGGGGGTCCATGTTTTTCATACCATGCACTATAGTGCGGTCAAAAATTCGTGGCGCAACTTATCCTCAAATACCTCTTTAACTAGTGAATCTATGTCATCCATACTTTGCACAGCAGTTTGTATCAATTTGTATTAACTAAATCATATATTTTTCCAGAATAACTGGGGTTAGATTATAAAACTCAATGAATTAAGTCGTCATACTCTGATGACGAAATTTAATTTAAGAAAAAGTAGGAAAAAAACAAGAAAAAGACCCCCCCCCCTCTCTCTCTCTCTCTCTCTCTCTCTCTCTCTCTCTCTCTCTCTCTCTCTCTCTCCCCTCTCTCTCCCTCGATCTCTCTCTCTCGATCTCTCTCTCTCTTTCTCGCTCTCTCTCTCTCTCTCTCTCTCTCTCTCTCTATCACACACACACACACACACACACACACACACACACACACACACACACACACACACACACATACACATATTAGGCCTACACTCACACACACGCGCGCGCGCACCACGCACACATACACTCACACACACGTACACAACTAAAATCATAACGATTCAAGTTTGTTATTGAAAATAAGCATCTTATGCTCAAAGCAATACAGTAGTTTTTTGGTTTTCATAGTTAGATCTATTTGAGTTTTGCATACCATAAAAATACAATATGCCGTCTAGCGGTTCCTGAAAATCCTTTCGGCGGTTTTTTCCGTCTTTGGCGGGATTATACTTTTACCAGCCGAATCTTGCCGAAAGGGGTTATCTGGCACCCAGTGAAGACAGGTGACAACCGATGATAGCGAGAGTGACAGTATGTGACAGACAAGATGAAGGAAGAAAGACTCACAACTCTTCCCTCTATACTCGCCGAGTATAGCCAAGAAATCAGTAATGGAGAAGAAAGGTGTGTATATCAATGAACTGGATAACGTGTATACTAAGTGTATTTAGTTTTCTTCAGTATATCTCTGACGTGACCGTGATGAGCCTGCCTGTCTTGTAAGTTACTGTTGACTGCTGTTAGACTGATTTTGATTCTCCCAGCAGTCAGTGACAACGTCCCACTGGCGACACCTCTGCAATGACTTTTGTCATTTGTGTGTGGCCGGCGACTGACACCATTTTTCCTTTAAAAGAACATTAACTATTGCTTTTTGTCAGTTAAGTTAGAGTGACAAAAATCTGTTCCAAGTTGGACGTTCAATGACTTACAGTGAGTGAGTAAATGAGTAAATCTAAGACAAATTTTCATATTTTCCAGTTTGCCTTTTGGGGAGGAATTTTGTAAGGAGCGACCACTATGAAACAAAGAACAATATAGAGGGTTAGGGGTAGGGTTTAGGGTAAGGGTAGGGGTTCGGGATTGGGCCAGGGAAGGGTTATAAAGGTCTCTTCTATATATAGATCTAGAATCTATTTTATTTTATAGGCCTATTGTATTTGTTGGGTGGTCGCTAATAATTGTTACAAAAGTCCTTCCACCTTTTGTGTTGACATTGTTGTTGATGTTAGAGTTGAAGCTGGCGCAGGTTGTTGGTCATGTGTGTTAAAAGTGTATTATATAATAGTAGGCCTGATCTAGGACAGTGTGACTGTACTGTAGGCCCTAAACCCCCCCCCCCAAAAAAAAAAAAATTAAAAAAAAAAAATGCCACCTTTGTTTCAGAGCTGTAATTTAAGGCTTTTTACTAATCTAATATGTATATAGCCTAATATATTTATATATGTATATAATGAGTATGTGTGTGTGTGTGTGTGTGTGTGTGTGTGTGTGTGTGTGTGTGTGTGTGTGTGTGTGTGTGTGTGTGTGTGTGTGTGTGTGTGTGACTTTCGTGTGTGAGTATATGTAGGCCTAAACTGTAAATTGAACAATGTTTTGTGTAATCTTATGTTTGATGAGCCAGTTGTGTTTGAGATTCGTATCTAATTAATTTCTGAGACAAAATAGTAGGCCTATAAAGGCTGTCAGTACAACCCCTCATCTACATCTGTCCAACCAACATATTGTTAGCTGAACAGATACTCATTACAGGTCATTACTTCAGAGGGGCCTATAGACAGCATATATGCTGATTCCTTGTTACTCATTCATTTGGTTACAAAAATCAGAGTTAAAGTGATATATATATATATATATATATATATATATATATATATATATATATATATATATATATATATATTGATCAAGATTCTAGAACAAGACGCACATAAAAACTTTAACTCTGATTTTTGTAACCAAATGAATGAGTAACAAGGAATCACAAGCTGGGCCCTCTTTCGATGAAGGGAGTGATCAGTGCATTAACGCCAACTGAAAGTCATTGGCCTACTACATTTACACTCTACTGGAATGGAGCAATAAATCTTGAGAGAAAAGTGACTCACGTGTTTCCAAGTTGTCAAATATAATAATATTCTAATCTAAGCCCTATTGACGTTGTTCCCAGTAGCAAGAAAAAGAATTTGACAAAGGAGTGCAGAAAAAGCGATGATGGGCATCAAACGGAAGGATCACAGTCAAATTTAGCACCAAGTAAAAAAAAGAAAACATGAGGCTAGATCCAATAAATCAATACGGGATGCACACTTAAAATAGTGCTCAGTATTGCGCGACAATGCGCGATAGTATCGAACGGAAGTACGACTTGAAGGCGGATTTTCTAAAAGTACTGAGACGGAAGTGTTGGCCTACAAAAGCGATCGGCGAAATAAAGAAATTTAGCTTTTTGCAGCAAAACTGTCTCAAAACTGAAAAAACGAAGGGCGCCATGTTCTGGAGAATATTTTAAAGAATCTTTTGGCGAAAACGGCATGTCGATCGATGCAGCCATTAAAAAGCCTTTTGAATAGCAAAATTCGGCCACCACAAATAGATAATAGATATATATGAGAGTCGTGTTGTTGGTGGAACCAGCAGATTTGATTTCTTGAAGCGATGCATTATTTAGGTAGTACTTAATAAGTCTATAGATAGTATTATGAAGTATATATGTAGGCCTTCTGTACATCAAAGTCTACAACTCAGCACAATTGACAAGTCAATGACCTGATTGTATCCATGTCAGTTGTTGGTTTTGTCTTCCTATTCTCTCTGTATAAGAACTTAAATCAGATCTCTGATCTTTGACGTCGGCCATCTAGGAAAGGCAATATCAACTTATTTAAATTGTCACTGTCATTTTAACAAATCTGAGGCATCTTTGTGAAATCGGACGCTCGTCAAAATAATGAAATCGAACATATACTGGCCTTTTTTCCGGCCATTGGGCAATTTTTAAATAATATTCTTTTTTTGGCTCAGAACCTTTTATGTCTAAAAACACATTTCTGTGTGGATTTTACTGAAAAACATTGATTAACCCCTTCACTGCCTGACCCGAGACTGTCTCAGGCTGTCTGGTGGACTAAAAGTAGAAGCGAATTCTTGTGTGTCTACCCCCAGGGGCGGTGCAACTGACTGAGGTGTCTTAAGCCATTCCCAAAGGGGGGGGACATTAGCATCTCGAGTTCTTATGCCCAGTAGAATTGTAATTGAAAATAATGGGCTTATCCATCAATGTCGTGCTCATAACTGTGCCTGACCTGCAACAGGGAACTGCTGCTTTTTCTTTCCTAATCCTTATTATCGTATTTTTCCTTTACTTGTTTTGTATGTTTGTCATACTCTTGTGACCCGCTTTTGGGGGTGCCTTGATAGTTGAAGCAGACTTTGTGCTGTTGAAGCTGGAGAGGTGAGCAGAGTAAGTCTGATTCCCTGTAAGGACTTCTCTTTTGACATCCACCCCTTGGCGCTCATATGCAGTTGCGAGTGCCGTAAAACCTCTACTAAAACTAAAAACTAAGAATTCTTGTGTTACATTTTTTAAAGATTAAAAAGCAATTGATTCTATGACTTGGCTGAATGTCATTTTGTGTCTTAATGTCCTTTTGCATCTCTGGAAGGGCGAGGAAAGGGAGTAAGATGGTGATTTACCCTTTACCCCGAACAAATAAACCTTCATCCCCTCCCAACCCAACCCCCTGTACCCCTTAACCCCATCTCCCTCCCCCTTTTCATCCCTCCCCCTGCGCCTCCCATCCCTCCTCCCAGTGCCCCTCCCCCTCTTCCCTTCCCTCCTCCGTCTTCCCTCTCCCCTCTCTTCCCTCTCCCCTCTCTTCCTTCTCCCCTCTTCCCTCTCCCCTCTTCCCCCCTCATCCCTCTCCCCTCTTCTTCCCCGCTCCTCTCTTCACCCCTCTTCCTTCTCCTCTCGCAGGGACTTGAATTTCATTTCATATATTGTAACGTTAAAAATGATCAAACATACAAACATGTTGATTTTATAGGTTGTGTACATTTGCATACACCATGGCAAATCCTATGAGCTTAATTCCAATAGACTATACTTTGCGACCTAATTATAGGCGCTTGTGTATAGAAGACAGTCTCTGCAGTAATATGTGGGCGTCTAGTCATCTTTTCACTTTCTGGTCTTATTTCTGCATATCTAGATTTTTTACAAATCTCTAAATGTAGGTATTTAGTTTTTCTTCATTTTATCCTCCTAGTTCGAGTGGCTAACAGATTTTTTCTTTCTAAGATTTTAAGAGTGTGAATGGGAGGGCAGTGTTTTGTAAACACAAAGATCTCCACGATGTCAGCTCATGGGGACAATGACTCAACCAAACCACTCAAATAAAAAGTAGCCTTAGATGAATTTTTTTGCTGTGATATAATATATAATTATATATGAAAGGCAGGAATGCTCTTTTCCTCTTAAACTTGCTCCGTAACTCTATTCTCGGGCCTGGCAGTGAAGTGGTTAAAAGCACAAAAAATGTAAATTTTCATTTTTCTAGGACTCTCTCAAGCTATGGAAGTTGCCCATCTTGTGCGGCCATTTTCTAGTTAATTTTACCTCTGAAACCAGGCAACCCTCTCCTTCTTCAGTTGCAAATGTCTCGAATTTTATTAAGCATAGATGGGTATTTATTTTCACTAATAGGAAGGCAAATGAACAGGGTTTAAGATGATAGCAATAACCCCATTTGCCCAAAAATTGACAAGTGCCTGATTCCACTACGTGGAGCCACAAATATATAAATTGTAGAATGTCAAAATTGCGAAAAAGTGAAAACCTAAAAACTAAGCATGTTGTAGAGTTTGATGAAGCATATTGATTAGTCATATATGTCTCCTTCCTGTTCTTGAAATAGTAACAGATGTAGAGGATTTATACATTTTTTAGGAAAAGACAAGATAGTGTCTGTGGTTGGTTGGCTGGTGCTTTGCCGTAGTTTTACTCCTTCTCTATTTCTATCAAACATCTATCGTCCTTATCTCAACTCCTTTTTTTTGTATGGCACTCTCTATAAGTTACACCTCTAGTAATCTTTGGCATTTATATGACCTATTTGTGTTGCAAGTGCTGTAAAACTCTTACTAAAATAACTAGATAGTGTCCTCAGTGAAATAAGACTATTTTTTGCTTCTCCTGAAAACCTCATGTTTTTTACAGGACAGTGATGAATGTTCGTGACATAACGTGCCAGTACAATGAATGTTTTAATGTTTATTGCCTTTTCCAAAGCAACATATCTGTACTACACAAAGAAATGGACATACAAATGAGTTGTTCCTGTCAAAGAAAGCTCAGTACACACAAGCTTTTGAAATTGTTTAGGAGAATTTAACAATTGCTCAACTCAATGTCTCTGGCTATCCAATCACGCTTCCTCTAACACTACCCACCTGCTTTCTGATGCCCTTAAACTACTGCATGCAGTAATGAGACTTGAAGATGGTGAAGCTTCCTGACATTGTGTACCCCTTGAAAGGAAGTTGCGAGCCTTGAGATACAAATCCCAAAGTTGAGGTGTACTGCTTTGTTCTGTGGCTCAGAACTGTATTTCATATGCCTTAACTTAGGAAGTGTCAAATACTTGTATAACTATAATGATCATATAGAATCTATATATGTAGTAATGAGGTGCTAAAATTAACATAGTTGAAAAAGAAATTTGATGCCTCTGCGGTTCATGTAATTTCTTTTTGATACTGCCACAGAAAAGGTAGAACATAATGTTGTCTTGTCTTGTATGTGTCTTGTATTCAGGTAGTTATTTGGTGTCAGTCACTGTCTGGCTTTTTCACTTCTTTTTTTCATGACGTTATCCTAAACTATTTTTTGTGAATTGTAGCTATTACTGGTGCGATTCACCATAAAAGCTGTAGTGTAATTAACTATCAATATACTGGCATCTGTGGTGTGATGGTTGAGTCTTCACAGTTGCATGCAGACGACATGAGTTGGGTTTGTGTGAGGGTAAGTTTTTTTTAATCAAGCATTTCCATCTGTCTGCTGTAATGCTGCATCATGTATCCCACTCAGTCCGGGTTGGCCCTGGGACGTAATGTTGAAGCAGCCCTCATTCTGAATGATATAAAGTGTGTTTATGGGGGCGTAAAACATTTCCTGTGTGATGCAACGTTTAATGTTGTGTAGCTCATTTTAAAATATTTTTTTTCTAAAGCTCCGTCAATTCCAGTGTCCTCCACTGCAACTTGGAACTTCTGGAGGGTATGTTTGTACCTTTACAGACAGGAACATGGAGGAACTTAAACTGTCTTTTTTTTTTTAAGGTCTGTTTTCTTTGGGGTTTCTAAGAGACCGGCTCTGTCTCAGTTACAGGGTAGCAATATATGGACTCAGGCAACTCACCAGCAGAAGGCATGGACCCCCGCCCACTCCATGGCGAAGATAGAGAAGTGCTCATGAATGCCAAGTTTTAAATTTTTTATGTGATACTTATTCTGATGTGTTTTCTGTGCCTTTTTCTTTTCTTTTCTTGTCTTTTTTTTTGTTTTTTCTTTTCTTTTTTTATTCCCAACTTGTGGCTTGTGTTCAGCTGTTAGTTAACCTCATCACTAACTTTTTTCAAACAACAGTTCTGTGAAGACCCAAGTCAAGCCAAATGTTGGGAAAGAAAATGCTGTGAAGTCACCGAAACCTGAGAGATGTAAGAAAAAATCTGTTGCTTCTAAGTCGGACCGGGCAGTGAGTGCCGGGGAGAGGCGACGAAGGCTTGAGACCAAGAGAGTGGAAGATAAGGTAAATATTGTGGCACAATTGTTGAATGTTGTAACTGGTGAACACTGCAATCTGCATTACATTTTTTTTAAAATTTGTTAGTCTCAGAAATGGCCCTGACATATTGTTTAAAGAAAAAAAGCAACTCATCTCTGGTAATGACAACCTCTTTTTGAACTTTTAGCATGGAGGAAAGTGTAAGTTTCTCAATCAAAATGTTAAAGAAGTGGAGATGCTCTTTATTTGCTGCTGGTATATCATAAGATCGTAGCTTAACATTTTAATTTTAAAAGTTTCCCTTTTGTAAAGAATATCTTTTGAGGTCGACAATCTGGAATAATCGTAATAAAGGTGTTTTGCTTGGGAGAAACCTCATGCAGATTTCCTGCAAAGCCTCTGTTGTGTTTGTTTGGTCTGTTGGCTGTCATGAGTGTTGTCTTCATTTTTGTGTCTTTCAGCTTCTGAAGAATTTTTGCCATAAACAGTGTTTTTGGCTGAGTTGTGACACCTCTTTCAAGCTTTTACATTTGCTGCCCATAACCCTATCTATTTCTGTTTTCTACTCGTTCTTTCATTAAAATTTGCTTATTTAAGTGCTGGCTTGCTCACTTATTCACTGTGTGTTGTTGGCAGATGCTCTGGTGTGGTTTATTCCTTCTTTCCTATCAAACATCTATCGTCCTTATCTCTCTACCTTTTTTTTTAATATATAGAATATTTGTTACTCTTTTGTAACATCTCTATTCTTCGGCACTTTTATGACTTAATTGTTTTGGAAGTGCCATAAAAAACTCTCACTAACACATACAACTTACTCACACTCACTTGCCTACCTACCTCCTCCTACTTTCTTGCTTTATTTGACTGTAGTGGCTATATAACATAAGTGTCTTGAGGGGGAAATAAAAGAACAGAAAGTGGATGGTTGGAGGGTACTCTGGTGTGGTTTGCTCCTTCTTTCCTGTCGAACATCTATCACATCTATCGTCCTTATCTCTCCTCCTCCTTTTTTGTGTTTGTTACTCACCTGTGAATCCTCTAATCTGCCGCACTTATATGACCTTATTGTGTTGCAAGTGCCGTAAAACTCCAACTAAAACGAAAAAGAACGGAATAGGGGACCAGATGTTTTCTGTTGTCTACTGTCATATTTTAGGATGTGCTAAATGCTCAGTTACCATGAGATGCTGGGTTGTTTGCGTTATAAAGTTGACTCCAGTGGCTGCGTTATGTTGCTGTTGCTGATTCCTTGGCTACAAATTATGCTCTGTTTTCTTTCTGTTGCTATTGTTGTTGTTATTATTATTGTTAATTTCAGCGGCTGTTGTGTCATTATTATTGTCAATTTCAGTGGCTGTATAATATTATTGTTGCTGCTGCTATTAATCCTATGCACATCTGAGTGTCGTGTTGCTGTATGCCTAATTTTTTGTGCGCATTCTCTGTAGTTTCGTGGTTGTAGTTTGTGTTTGTTATGACACAGACATATTATACATCAAGTTGACAGCCAGCGAAGTCTGGGACGAGCCGGCATCATTGTCGCAAGTACTTAACGAGGTCCCATTGTTTGTTCTCTCTGTCTCTCTCTCTCTCTCTCTTTCTCTCTCTCTCTCTCTCTGTCTCTCTCTCCCCTCTCTCTCTCTCTCTCTCTC